GTGAGAGTCTTTCATGTGGAACTGGGTTTGGGGTCATAAAGGTACAAGATTAGCAGGATAATAGAGAGCAGCTGAAGCTTGGCACTGTGAGAGACCAGAAGAGGTCATTAGTAAAGACACAGCTACAGTTGCCGTGGAGACTCCAGGATACTGGAGATACCAGGACTATAGGATGACCACAGGGACAGGGACAGGTGTGGAGTGGAATCAGTCAGAGCCTATGAGATGAGCTACACGTGTTCTGGATGTCAGAGATGGAGGAGCAGAGCTGCCCAACCCCTTCAGAGCCCAGGAGATAGTGGATGAATCCCAGATGCCGGACATCGACCTATAGGATTTGATTGTACTGCTGGATGTTGGCTTTGATTTGATTTAACTGTAGGCCTTTGCTGGTTCTTTCCTCTTGGAATTAGAAAGTATATACATATTTTAGGTTTCAAAGTATCCCACAATGAAGAGATGTTGGATTTTTTTTTAAAGAGAACTTGGACTTTTAAAGTGTTGAATGTATTTAAAGACTGTAGAACTTTAAAATTTATACTACGTTTTAGACTGTGATATTAATATGATATCATGAGAAAAAAAACAATAAAGGAAAGGTTATGGTTTAATACTGATATGTCTGTATGCCAAGCTGACAGAAGATCAATTGTGCTGGTGAATTTTTTGTTGTAGCTAGAGTTTTCTCCAGTCCTGCCTGGCCCATGGTCAGGACAAATCTCTCTCATCCACCAGTCCCACAGCCACTTAGACCCAACTGAGTAAACACAGAGACTTATATTGCTTACAAACTGTATGGCCATGGCAGGCTTCTTGCTATCTAGTTTTCTCTCTGGGTCCCGCCAGGCCCTAGCAGCCCGACAGCCCACTTATAAAATAAACATACAGATGCATATTTTATTTAAACTGTTTGGCCTAATGGCTCAGGCATCTTGCTAGCTGTTCTTATATCTTAAATCAACCCATTTCTATTAGCTATAAGTTGCCACGTGGCTTGTGGCTTACCGGTACCTTACATCTCGCTTGTCATGGCAGAGGCTGGCAGCAGCTCTCTGCCTCAGCCTTCCACTTCCCAGAATTCTCCTCTCTCCTTGTCCCACCTGTACTTTCTGCCTGGCTACTGGGCAATCAGTGTTTTATTTATTAAACAATCAGAGCAACACATTTAACATACAGAACATCCTACAGCATTTTGTTGTTGCTGTTTTGTGTCAACTTGATACAAGCTCGGATCATCTATGAACAGTAACTCTCAATTGAAGAAATGCCTCTATATGATTGGTCTGTAGGCAAATCTATAAGGGCATTTTCTTGATTAAGGATTCACGTGAACAGTCTATAGGTAAGTTTGTGGGGGTATTTTCTTGAGTAAGGATTCATGTGGACAGATGTGGCCTGCTATGGGACGTGCTACCCTTAGGCAGGTGGTCCTGGGTTGTAAAAGAAAGTTGGCCGAACAAGCCCCGAGGAGCAAGCCAGTAAGCAGCATTTCTCCATGGCCTCCACCCTTTGCTTCAGTTCTGCCTCCAGGTTCCGCCTTGAGTTCCTGCTGACTTCCCTTCATGATGGACTGTAAGCTGTGAGCTGATATAAACGCTTTCCTCCCCACGTTGCTTTCCGTCATAACCTTTATCATAGCAATAAAAAGCAAACCAGGATGATGATGATGTTGATGATGGTGATGATGATGGTGATGATTAAGGTCTTAGGTACCATAGAACTATTTATTTACTTATTTATTTTGGTTTTTTGAGACAAGGTTTCTCTGTGTGACAGTGCTGGCTGTCCTGGACTCGCTTTGTAGACCAGGCTGGCCTCAAACTCACAGAGATCCACCTGCCTCTGCCTCCCAAGTGCTCGGATTAAAGGCATGCACCACCACCACCCTGTAGCATTATAGAACTTTATATAATTTAAAGGCATTGTTGTATCATAATGTAGTACAATAACTAACATTTAGAATTACTAATAATGAACAAGAAAGCTTTTCCATTGAGTTCCCTTGAGTTGGTAGATATTGATAATTGGAAAGATAATAGAAAATGAGATTAGAATTTAAAGAATTGTTTGGAGTAGGGCTGTGATAACTAGCCATTCCTAATCTTGTAAATGAACCAAACATGATGCTTGAGAAATAGCCATTAATGAAGGTAAGTGATTATCATGGAAAGGTATAGGTCTCTCAAGACGGAAAGTTTTTGCTTACTCTGGGACTAGAAATTATGTTTGCTCAACCAACAATAAGTAAGAAGCCAATGGGGTTTTGACAACATGGTGAAAAACACAGAATTCTTCTATGGGGGGGGAGGGGAGAAGAAATGCAATTAGAAATTCCAGGGAAAATGAAATATATATAATAAGTTAAGGATAAAAGTGGAAAAACTGAGGGTCAAGGTGATGGTCCAATGGATTAGTGCTTCTGCACAAGCCTGAGGACCTGAGTTTGGATCCCTGGTACCCACATGGTGGCATGTGCCTGTAATCCCAGGGCTGGGGGTTGGAGACAGAGAACTCTGGGAGGTTACTGGCCAACTGGTCTAAACAGTGGATGAGTTCCAGGTCAAGTGAGAGATTCTGTCTTAAAAATCAAAGTGAAAAGCAGTAGAGGAAGACACTAAACATTAACCTCTGGCCTCCACAAGTGCAAACATGAATGTTGGAATGCACCACACACACACACACACACACACACACACACACACACACACACAAAATGAAACATCTAAACCATGGCATATTTGTAATCAATTTATGGAAAATAAACAGAGGAAATTTTAGTTGATTTTGCTTGGGAAATTGATTCAAGTAAAATTTCAAGTGAAATGTGTAATAGGACAAAAGTTTATCATCTGTATTTTTTTTTTTTTGCATTAGTAGCATTCTTTAGGTGCATACCTAGGCAACCTTGAACAAAAAATGGGACCTAATGAATTATGGAACCTGAAACAGGGCAAAGGTTGTTGTTGTTGTGTGTGTGTGTGTGTGTGTGTGTGTGTGTGTGTGTGTGCGCGCGCGCGCACACATGTGTGAAAGCAGAAGAGGACATAGCATATCATCTCCCTCAATTCTATAATCCTCTGCTTTATTCCTTTAAGGCAGGATCTCTTGCTAACCTTGACTTTCCATTTTTAAATTTAAAAAAATTTTCTTTGGTTAAGGTGATAGCGAGCCAGCCCTAGATGACGCTCCTGCCAGATGTTTAGAGACCACACAAAGCTGGCTGAATGGGTGCTGGGGTTCAAACTCTTGTCTTCAAGTTTGCATGGCAAGTGTTCCTTAACCACTGAGCCATGTCTTCAACCTCCATTGAGCAAGCTTGCTTTTTTTTTTTTTAAATCCGATGTGAAAGATATAAATGATTTTGGAGGTCACCAACCTAAAAGGACATTTTCCTTCTACTGTTCTGTACATTATCATTTAAGAAAATCTGGCCCCAGGGACAGATGGCTTTAAGTAACCAGGTCAATTCACATGTCTAACCCTAAGGTCAGGTCCTGTGGCTCAAAGGTTTGATTTCCTTTTCTTTTACCCCTTGCCTCTCTTCCTCCCTCCTTCCTTCCCTCCCTCTCCTCCCCTGCCCTTTCTTCTTTTCTTCCTTTTTTTCCTTTCTGAGACAGGATCTCATTGCGTAGCTCTGGCTGGCCTGGAATTCACTTGCCTTTACCTCCTGCATACTGAGATTAAAGGCAGTGCCACTATACCGAGTCCTGATTTATCTCTTGTTAAGGATGCGCAGCTCTGTTACCTGAGGGTGACTTCTGAATGTCATGAACCTTTATTTTCCTATAATTGATCTCATCTTCCTCTTTAGTCTCTTCCCTGAAATATACCAGGGGCAGTGGGGTGAGAGGGGGGCATCTTTAAACTTCTCAATTAAAGATGGCTTAAAGTTTATCTTTTAGGTAAATCAGGTGGGGTTTGTTTTGCTTTGTTTTTGTTTTTGTGTTTTTGTTAAATGCAGCTTTAAAAATCCCTCTGTCTCTCTAAACCGGCATCTTTACACGAGACAGACATGAACTTGTGGTAGGTTGGCATGCCCTTGGATGTATTTGATGGTCTTTGGCTCTTTTCTGGTCTGCTGGGGTACGTGCTGCTGGGCAACCGGCCTTAGCATATAGAGCAGGCATTCACTGCTAGTATCTGGATTTCTCAACATCCACTTTCAACCGTGAAACACCACACACTTTATCTCTGCCTATCGGTCTTTAAGTAGTCTCTCTATTAATTCATGTTTAATTTTTGGTCATGATATGGTTTGTGCATGTGTGTTGACGGTGGTATTGCCACACGTGCCACTGTGTGCTTATGGCATCAGAGGACAACCCACAATGATGCTTCTCCTCTTTGACCAGGTGGATCCCCAGGGACTGAACTCCGATTATCAGGCTTGGTGACGGACACCTTTACCCAGTGACCAACTAGCAGGTTCCTTATTTTGATTTGAATTATCAGATGAGAATGATGTCCCCTGCCGAGACTTTGACTTAGAACTGGAGGTCATTGAGATCATCGACTTGACATCCCCCATCAGCATCTCAGTTAGTGTTCACCATCATCCTTGTCCTCATGGTTAGCTGGTGAGGGTTGTTTATCTTTGTGATCTCTTTATTCAACTATATACAGTGTTCTAGAAAGCACAAGGGCTTGATAGAAAAGGGCTATGATGTCACATTGGAGCTTCTAGGGAGATTAGGAATTGAGAACTGAAAAATGGAGACATTTTTTTTCTCCAGTTGAGAGGAATAACATGAACACAAAGCTTTAGAAGCTTAAATAATCAAAATGTCTTCATGGGTCACTGAGGAAGCCGGTTTGATTAAAGTAGAGAGATTTTTGTTGGGAAACGAAGTTGAGATCAAATTGGGAATATTTTTGTTCACATTTTTCTTTAAAGTTTATTCAATACAACACAGTCTCCAACTTCACTGAGGTGGCTGGCTACATCCACGACCAAAGCCAGCCCCAGCCTCAGCTTTCTGGTTAGCACCAGAGGGCACAGCAATTCTTCTGTATGTGTCTCGGTCTGTCCCCTCCTCTTGCGAATCTTGCAGGTGGGTCACTCTCTAGATCTTTGGGCCAAGGCCTGCCAGTTGAGGATGGCTACCTGGCAGGGTGCAGGCACTTTCTCCGGGGGTAGGTGGAGGTCATCTGGGAGATACTGGATGCCCTCGTTTGTAAGGTACCAATAGAAATGTCTCCAGACAACTCCCCCTTCCCATAGCCTTGAGGCTTCAGAGACCTCACGGCCTTCAGTAAGTGAAGGCTGGGCACACATTCTTACCTGCCAGCTCGGGGTGTTTGGGCATATGGTCATCTTTCTTGGCAACCGGCACTCCTTCCTTAAAAAGGAGTTCATAGATGGCAATCCGGTTCTTAGGCATCAACAGCACAGCAGGGTCCATCCGAGATGAAGGCTGGGAAGGAAGGGGTGTGCATCGCACAGCGTCTCTACTGGGCCCAAACGGGGAAACGTTTAAGACAGGGGAGAAGCATTCCAATCTGAAGCAGAGGGAAATGCAGGACATAATTAATTAAATAGCTATATTTTTGGAGACAGTCTCACATAGCTCATGCTGACCTTAAACTCCCTACGTAGCCAAGGATGACCTTGAACCTGTTCCTCCTGCCTTCACCTCCTGAGTGCTGGGATTACAGGTGTGTGCCACTCTGACCGGGTTAATTAATTTATTTCGAATCAGGTAAATAATATGATGGGATAGGTGTAAGGGAAAAAAAAATCAGCATGGAGGATGGAGAGATGGCCCAGCAGGTAAGAGCACTGGCTGCTCTTCCAGAGGTCCTGAGTTCCATTCTCAACAACCATGTGGTGGCTCACAACCATCTGTAATGAGATCTGATGCCCTCTTTCTGTGTGCAGGCAAACATGCAGACAGAGCACTCATACATAAAAAAAAAAAAAAAAAGTCAGTATGTTCTTGGATGGAATGGAAAGAATAGGGCAGATCAAAGAGGAAAAGCCTGTCTCCACTCCATGACAGCGTTCACCCTCTGCTGGCTGCTGGAGATAAGTGGTGGGCAAACGAAGAAAAGTAAAGCTAGAGACCTGTGTGGCATAAAGAATAGAATAGTGAGGAATAAGTTAGGACTGAGTGTCCTAGTTTAGCTTTGGTGGCTGTCATAAAATACCCCCAATAAAAAGAAGCAACTTAAAGGAAAGGGAGTCTATTTTGGTTCACAATTCCAGGTTACATTACAGTCCTTTTTTTTTTTTTCTTCCAGTTTTTTGAGACAAGGTTTCTCTGTGTATCCCTGGCTCTCCTAGAACTCACTCTGTAGACCAGGCTGGCCTCAAACGCAGAGATCCACCTGGCTCTGCCTCTCAAGTGCTGGGATTAAAGGTGTGCGCCACCACACCTGGTTTACACACCTAGGTCACATGACAGCATTAGGAGCTGGAGCTAGGTGGTCATCTTCACCCACAATTAGGAGCAGAGGGAAATGGGTGCATGCATGCTTACTTCCTCGCTCTGCTTGTGCTCAGCTCCATGTCTCCATTCTTCTACAGCTACAATCCCTCTGCCTAGGGAATGGTGCTTCCCATAGTGGGCTGGGCCTTCCCCTATCAATTAATTTAATTAAGACAATCCCTTACATGCCTTCAGGTCAGTCCAATATAAAGACAAAACAAAAACCTCTTTTCTAGGGTTATTCCAGATGGTGTTGAGTTGACAATTAAAGCTACCACACTGAGATTTTGAATATCATTTAATACAACTTGACAAGTAAATGGACATATTTCAGGAGAAACAGATGAATACCTAGAACAGAAACAAAGGCACATGAACAGTGAAAAAATGGATGGGTTAGGTTGAATTAAGTGGTGTTTACCTGAGATGGGTTAGGTTAACCTGCACGGAGTTAACATGGGTGTAGTGTAAGTGATGTTTGGCCCAGAAAGACACTGTACTGCTCCAGCGACAGGGAATTAAATAAAGAAAACAATTTTGTTTTAATATTTAAGTGCAAATTCTTTCATACAAATGAACCCTGGTACATTTTTAACCCCATTTTCCTCCATTGACCTAACTTTGAGGCATGTAAATAAATTAGTCTTAGCAGGCTCACATTATTTACTTCTTCTATGACTCTTTTTCCTGTAATGACAATTCTTAGGAGAATCATGTCCATTTCTCTCCTTGGAAACGCTTATAAATTGAGATGGTAGCCATTATGATAAACTATTGCTATACCCCATTTATTGTGGCTACCAAGGTGTATGTGGTGTGTGTGTGGAGGGTTGTAGGAGTTGGCCTGTTCTTGAGGAGCCTATAGTACAGTGGAAGACAGAAAATAATGGAGAACTAAAGCTATGCTAATGACTGTGAAGGATAAGAATGTAAAGTAAGAGTTTATAATGGGCATTGCTAGGGCTGTAATACTCTCTGGTTGCTCTTCCAGAGGTCCTGAGTTCAATTCTCAACAACCATATGGTGGCTCACAACCATCTATAATGGGATCTGATGGATCTGAGACTTGGATGGTATATAGATTATTCAGTGAAGATGGAGATTTCTAAGCTGAGGACCTAACCAGAAACTGGATTTGTGGTGAAAAAGAGTATGTTAAGAACAGAAAGATTTGTAATATGGATGCATTGCAAAAGGATGGATGGAGTTAATATACTATGAAGATGTAGAGAAAGAGTTCTATAAAGGAGCCTATAAACCATGTTAAGAGTTTTGTTATTTATTACGGGAACAAAAGGAAGCCATTTGGTGTGTGTGTGTGTGTGTGTGTGTGTGTGTGTGTGTGTGTGTGTGTGTGTGTGTGTTGTTATATTATGACAATAAAAATGAAATAAGACAGCTTGCCATGTTGGCAACTACATATATGAGTATGGAACCCAGGAGATAGGTAACATGGAAAAGTTGCTACTCTAAATGACTGCTCATTTCATTCTACTTCTTATGTTTGGAGAATTCCCACTATAGCAATTTGGGAGGAAGACAAAACTGAGCGTGTGCTGAAATGCTGTGGAGAGGTCAGGTCACATAAGGACTAAAACGTGTTTAGTGGATTTAGTGACTGTGCTGGCTAGTTTTATGTCAGCTTGACACAACTGTAATCATCTGAGAGAAGAGAACTCAGTTGAGAAAATGCCTCCAGAAGATCAGGCTGCAGACAAGCCCGTAGGGTGCTTTCTTAATTAGTGCTTGATAGAGGAGGGCCCAGCCCATTGTGGGTGGTGCCATCCCTGGGCTGGTGGTCCTGAGAAAGCAGGCTCAGGGCTGGAGAGATGGCTCAGAGGTTAAGAGCACTGACTGCTCTTCCAGAGGTTCTGAGTTCAATTCCCAGCAACCACATAGTGGCTCACAACCATCTGTAATGAGATCTGGTGCCCTCTTCTGGCCTGCAGTCATACATGCTGTATACATAATAAATAAATAAATCTTAAAAAAAAAAAAGAAAAGAAAAGAAAGAAAGCAGGCTCAGCAAGCCAGTAAGCAGGAGTCCTCTATGGCCTCTTTATCAGCTCTCGCTTCCGGTTCCTGCCCTGTTTGAGTCCCTGCCTTGGCTTCCCTCAACTGACTGTGATTCAGATATGTAAGGCAAACAAGTCATTCTTTCCCCAAGTTACTTTTGGTCATGGTGTCTTATTATAGCAATAGAAACCCGAACTAAGACAATGGTAGAATGTCATTGTAATGTTCAGTAAGGACAAAGTTTACGATGCAATGGACCTGGAAGGCGGACTGGAATCAGCTGAGAAATAAGCCAGGAGGGAGAGCACGTAAGCTTGAACAACTGTTTGAAAATGTGTTGGCTGGAGGTCGAGCAAATCGGCTGTGGCGAGAGTCTCCAGCAGTCAACTTGAGCAGTGGTTTGTGCAGAAAAGCACCTTCAGGGCAGGAAGGACGAGGTTTTAGCACAACATGTTGAAAAAGTCAAGAAGGAAAGAGGAGCTGATTGTAACCCTTCCTTAATTTCAAGAGGGCTAGCCTGGAGAGAGGCTGTGTCGGGGAGAAGGGCTGAAGGAGGGAAGTCTAAGGCAGAGAGGTAGAATCAGGCAGAGGAAAACCCTGCATTGAGCAGAGCTCTGTGGCGCTTGTCCTCAGACCAGAGCCTTGTGAATGGAGCCTCTGGGGCCATGATAGGCTGATGACCAAAGGACTGTCTTCTCCTCCCAAAATCAGACAACACACAGAGAGACTCCATCTGCTGAGTAATACTGTAGGAAAGTCAGTGCGGGATATTGTCTTGGAACTAAGTATCAGGCTAGTAAATTCAGCATCTGACAGATGTAGTGGGCCCATTCCCAGGTGAGTACTCATGATGGAGCCTCTGGACTTGACCTTGTACCTGTCCCATTCCAAAATTCTCTTTTGAAGATGCTCTGGCAAGGAAGACGCTCTGACTACTGAATAATTTTTAATAAATTTTAATTACTCACACATGGGACCGGTGGTGGTGGTACAGCTTGGGAACATGTGTGCATGTATGTGACAGTAACTAAGATACGCAAAGATGTGAATTTTTTCATTTTTCTTTATTAAGAAATTTTCTATAGATGTGAATTTAAATACAAATAAATTGATTTTTTTATATCACAGTAAGGTGGTGTTTCTAGATTTCTACAAATTTTCATTAGAAAGTCTAATATTGAGTTGAGGTGAGTCAACTCCTATTAAATTTTCTTGGTAGCTTTAGCAACATGGTGCCAACAAAACTCAATGCCTCTACCCTTCATAGTTATTTTCATAAACTTTCCTAGGAAGATATAGTTAATAAACATAATACGGCAAGCATAATAAGAACAAAAATGGTTTAATTTTCTAAAATAGGAGGAAGAACTCAGCAACAGAAAAACAAATAATCTGATTTCAAGATGAGCAAGGACCTAGGTAGGTATTTTTTTGAAAAGACATACAAATCACAACAGGCGAATGAAGAAATGTACAGCATCACTAATCACCAAGTAAAAAAAATCAAACCCCTGAGATATGGTGGTACATAATTTTATGCCAGCATTAACCATAAAGGTCTGGAGGTCTGTACAGACAGAGCTGGGCAGGAAGAAGTGATGTAGCTGGGCTGAGAGAGGAAATGAGATGGCAGAACAGAAAGGCGTATAGGCATCGGTGGGTAAACAGGAAGTAGGTCTCTTTGGCAGAGGATCTCTAAGTGATGAGAACGTGGCTGGCTTCTTTCTGCTTTTCTGAAATCTCGGTTTTAACCCCAATGTCTGGCTCCAGCTTTTTCTTATTAATAAGACCATGTAGCAATTCACCTTACACAGAGTAAGCAAAAACTTTCCATCTTGGGAGACCTATATCTTTCCACGATAATCACTTGCCTTCATTAACGGCTATTTCTCAAGCATCATGTTTGGTTCATTTACAAGATTAGGAATGGCCGGTTATTACAGCCCTACTCCAAACAATTCTTTAAATTCTAATCTCATTTTCTATTATCTTTCCTTCCAACTATTAATATCTACCAACTTAAGGGAACTCAACGGAAAAGCCTTCTTGTTCATTATTAGTAATTCTAAATGTTAGTTATTTACTACATTATGATACAATAATGCCTTTAAAGTATATACAATTCTATAATACCACAGGGCAGTGATGGTACATGCCTTTAATCCGAGCACTTGGGAGGCAGAGGCAGGCGGATCTCAGTGAGTTCGAGGCCAGCCTGGTCTAAAGAGTGAGTTCTAGGACAGCCAGGGATGTTACATAAAGAATCTATGTCTCAAAAACTCAAAATAAAATAATAAAATAAAAAAAGAAGCAATTTAGGAGATTTTCTATTTTTCCCCTTGTATGTTCACTTTAGATACACACATTCAAAAGCATAAATAATCGAGTAGGTTTTAGTTCTGAGGGGAAAGGTTTCCCCAAGGGAAGTGCTACATAGCTTTGCTCCTGTGTCGCAGCTCTGAAGGGAAAGGTATCCTGGCAATCCAGAGCCAAGGAATACCACAGTCACACCACACAATAAACCTCACACAAGCGATTTATTGGGAGGGGAAAAACAAAACAGGAGGATGGCTGCCTGAAGCGGCAGGGAACCGAGGAGAAGGCTGGGTTTGTATAGAGTGTCTTGGGGCGGAGATGGCCTGGGATTGGTGGGATTTTGGTGGCCTGATCTTGAGGCAAGATGATGCACTGGTGGGATTCTGTTTCTGGTTTGGGGTTTGGGGTCAAGTTAGGGTCAGGGTCCTGGTCTTGGGGTTAAGTTAGAGTGTCTTTCCTTGGCCCTTTTACCCTACATCTAGGAACAGTAAGTTAAAACAAAAAACAACAACTTTGGGTTAAATTTTTAAAAAGCAAATGAGGGATTGGAGATTTAGCTCAGTGGTAGAGCGCTTGCCAAGCAAGCTCAAGGCCCTGGGTTCGATCCTCAGCACCAAAAAAAAGTAAAAAGAAAGCAAAAGAAAATGCAACAGTCTTTAAAACGTGCTTAGCAAGAGTTTTGAGAAATTCTGAATTCAAGCGGAACTTTGAATTCCAGTCGCTCCTGGGCTCAGTGTTCATTTTCACTGCTGACTCCCAACCCCGCTGTGTTACTCCAGGGCGGGGTGGTGTGTAAGGGGCACACGGGGCCGCTCACGGGAAAGCCTTGGCGCGGCTTTCTCACTCCCGCCGCCCCCCGAGTTTTGACGCCTCCACCTCGGGAAGGCGTGGCCGCCGCAGCCCGGCCCGCGATCTCGCGAGATTTGCGGCTGACCACGTGATCCGCAGGGGGCGGGGTCTCCCAAGCCCTCGCCAAAGGGCTTGGACTTCTGTGGAAGGCTGGTTCGGTCGCGGCTGAGGACACGGGGAAGAGCGAGCGGACGGACGGACGTTCGGGGGTCCGGAGGGTCCCGTGAGGTGGGCTGGCACGGGGCGGGCCGCACGGGGCCGGGCGGGCCCCCACCCCCAAAAAAAAATTTCATACACGTCCAATCTCACCGGTTTTCCGTGGTCCAGGCCAGGGACAGGACTTTCTTAAGAATCCCCCTACAGTTGGTCCCGAAGTTTTAAAATGTAAACCAAGAGGTCCGAATGTCTGTGGGTTCTACTCATTCGAAGGCTTCTTGCAATAACACCCAGTATCAACAGTCGAAGGAAAACTTCCAGAACATTCCGCCTTCCCCTTCGAGTGCCTGTTCAGTTGCTTATCAGGGCTCTGGAAGCGCTGGCCAGGAATCCAGCCGTTGCCTGGGAGAGGTTCTCTCCCCTCGGGTCTTCAGCTATCTGTGTTTTTCTTTTTTAAGAATGCTGTGTTCACTGGGCGGCAGCAGCGCACGCCTTTAATCCCAGCACTCGGGAGGCAGAGGCAGGCGGATCTCTGTGAGTTCCAAGCCAGCCTGAGTGCTATATTTGAAAGGTTCTTACTCTCTATATGCTGTTTTATGTATGGTTTCAGAAATTTTATTGTTTATTTTACACAGGATCCAAGATGAATGACAACCTGTTTGTCAGTTTAGACAGGCTTTTGTTGGAATTTGGTAGGTATAAAATGAAAATAAAGAAATAAGCAGCAGTTTGTATTAACACTTGACATTTAACCGTGAAGTAAAATTACAACAGAAATGTTTATTTTAGTTTTCCAGTATGAGCAAGACAAAAGTGCTAAAGAAGATATGATTCAAAGAATTAATAGTAAGTAGTTTTCCATGAAATAAATATTTTAGTTTTTTAATTTTATAATTGCACTGCTTAGGGCAACCTATAGTTGTGTGTGTGAGAGGAATCTTTCTTTTGAGTAACAGTGAGCTAGTTTTCTTAGGGGTAATAATAGTTGTAACTTACCTAGTGTTGCAATGATAAATGTTTGTATTCAACATCATTGTGTGAAGAATTTCTCACAAACAATCTCTTATATACAGTTTTGTTTTTACCCTTCAAATAACAAGGTCATTTCAAATATTTAATTTTTTTCCCTAGAAATAACCAAAAAGGTTGGTAAGTGGCATGCTTACAGGAAGAATGATTCTGAAAAATGATAAGTAAAATATCAGGGTCATGTTTTGAATTCTTTTTTTTTTTTTTTTTTTTTTTTTTGGTTTTTCGAGACAGGGTTTCTCTGTGTAGCTTTGCGCCTTTCCTGGGACTCACTTGGTAGCCCAGGCTGGCCTCGAACTCACAGAGATCCGCCTGGCTCTGCCTCCCGAGTGCTGGGATTAAAGGCGTGCGCCACCACCGCCCGGCTCTTCATGTTTTGAATTCTTAAAATGGTTTAGTTCTAATTTCAGTTTTGAAAGCATAACTGTTAATTTCTTAGTATTCTAAAAGAATTTTATTATCTTTTCTGCAATCAAAAAGAAAATAGAATATTAATTAATTATTTCAGTGCTAGAGAGATGGTTCAGTAGTTAAAAGCACTTGTTGCTCATGTAAAGGACCCAGGTTGAGTTCCCAGCACACCCACATTGTGATTCACAACTTCTGTAATTTCAGTTTCAGGGAATCTTTATGACCTCTTCCAGTCTTCACTGAACACTAGACACACACATAGTACATGTGTATACAGTCAGGCAAAATACTCATACACATAAATTTAAAATTCCAATTTTTAGCCAGGCAGCGGTGGTGGTGGTGGTGGTGGCGGCGGCTTTAATCCCAGCACTCGGGAGGCAGAGCCAGGCGGATCTCTGTGAGTTCGAAGCCAGCCTGGGCTACAGAGTGAATTACAGGAAAGGCACCAAAGCTAAACAGAGAAACCCTCTCTCAGAAAAAAAAAAAAAAAAACCAATTTTTCAAAGCAATTTTTATCTTTTTATTATTTATTTAACCTCAAGCCATAAGTGTATTGGTATATTTAATAATTGATGTGCAATGGATGCAGTTTTATGTTTGTCAAAAATAAAAGCCTTTGGTAGTATCATTAGTAAGTGTTTATATGAATTCACAGCATCACAAGGTGCATTAGCTTTACATGCCATCTGATCTAGCCCTCTGTTGTAAAAGATGGGGGGCAGGGACATTTGTTCTTCTTTGGTCTTACGTTTTTCTTAAACTTCTGGACCTAGGAATGGGCCTGGCTTTGGTTCTCTTGATTTTTAGTGTAAATGCCTGTCTCTCTCAGGCCTCACTTCCTTTCCATTCTCTGATTCTTCGCCTTTTAGGTCAGCTGCCATATACTTTTATTTTTCTGGTATGTTTTGAATTTATGATTTCTAGGTAAATAAAACAAACATTTCCTATTTCAGAATGCCTTGAATGCATTAAAGAAAAGAAAGCAAATGTTTCTAAGATATGTGAAGCTATAAAGAAAACAGATGAGGAAATTGCTTATTACTATAAACATAGTAAAGAAATCAAAGACTGCTATAATAAGTAAGTATTTGACAGAAATGAACTTCCGTTTCTTATCATTTGATAATTTTACTCAAGGTTTCAGAGTTGTTAGTAGAAAATGTTGAGTTGGAAATGTAGTTCAATGGTAAGGCACTTGCCTAACATTTGCAGGGCCCTTTTTATGATTACCACAGACAAACAAAAATCTTACTTTAAAGTAACAGTGTTCTCTCTGTCTTCCTTCCCTGTCTTCCTCTTCCTCCTCTTGTGAACCCAAGGCCTTGTGCACTCTTCCCTCGCACTGAACTAAATCCCAACTCCCAAGTTAGCATCTCTATTTGCAAAATAATCATGTCACATTGCCTGGTTATATGCAACTGCAGAAGGACTTACAGAAGATTCCACAGAAAAGCAGAAATAGGGGTTATAAGATCTCACTAATTCAGACCTACTTAGTCTAAACAGACTTTTGTAAACTGAGGGTGTTGGCACATGCTAGTATTCTAGCACTTAGGAGAGAGAGGCAGAAGAATCAGAAATTTAGCATTGTCCTCAGGTACATAGAGGTCCAGGCCAGGTTGGATATATAAGATCCTGTCTACAGATAAACAGATTTTGTGTATAAGCTTGGGATGTAAAATTGCTGTTGATCTTCGGCTTTTCAAGGTCTTAGATTTCTGTAAGAATTTAACCTAAGGACTGAAGAGATGGCCCCACAGTTAAAAACACTCACTGTTCTTGCCGATGCCCAAGGGTCAGTTCCTAGCACCCACATGGTGGCACGTGACAGGCTGTAATTCCAGTCCCAGGGGTTCCAATGCCTTTTCTTGCCTCCATGGGCACAGAACACATTTGGTGCACAGACTATCATGAAGACAAAACACCCATACACATTAAAAAGAAAAAAAACCTGAAAAATTTCAAGATAAAGACTTAAGAAATATGTCTTTGGATTTATTCATTCATCTTACTTGGTTGCAATTGAATTGAGTTTCTTGTTCAATATTTTCACTATAGGAAAACACTGTGCATAACTCTTAATATCCAACATTAGAGGTTTCATTAATTTAATTATATACTTACTACTGAACATTCAACAGTCAATGAAATTATGACATGTATGTTTGGTTTGGAAAGAAGTTAACAGTACATTACAAATGGAACAAGCAGATAATAAAACATCATTTATAGTATGAATCCAACTAATAATATGTTTCCAATTATATATCTGGATTTCCCAAATTAGGAAAATCGGTTGTATATCAAAATGCTTGTCCTAAATATTTCCTTAGTGATCACTGCAAGCACCTTTTTGTTGTTTTGTTGTTGTTGTTTTGTTTGTTGGTGTTTTTCTGGAGACAGGGTTTCTCTGTGTATCCCTGACTGTCCTGGAACTCGCTCTGTAGACCTGGCTGGCTTGGAACTCATGGAGATCCCCCTGCCTCTGCCTCCTGAGTGCTGGGATCAAAGGCGTGAGCCACCACCACCAGGCAGCACTTTTTGAGTCAGGGTTCCTCTGTGTAGCCCAGGCTGTCCTGGAACTCGCTCTGTAGACCAGACTGGCCTCGACCTCATAGAGATCCGCCTGCCTCTGCCTCCCAAGTGCTTAGATTAAAGGCGTGCACCACCATTGCCTGGCCACTGTGAGCATTTTTAAATGCACAGAATATGTGTATATGTAATCTTTGAACCTCTAATTCTGGAGAATATTTGCTAAGAATTGATCAGAAATTTAGACAAATGTTTAAGAATAGTTTCTGCTCAGCAAGTGACAAAAGAGGGTAAGTTGTTATGTGTGATTATGATCTCAATATTGTTATAATAGTAGTAAAATCTGGAGATAACTTATTAAAGTAGCAATACTAGATACCAATACTAGATACTTAATGTGGGTAGTGGTGGTGCAGGCCTTTAATCCCAGCACTAGGGAGGCAGAGGCAGGCGAACCTCTTTAGTTGAGGGCAGCCTGATCTATAGAGCAAGTTCCAGGACAGCCAGGGCTGTTAAACAGAGAAACCCTGTATCAGAAAAAGTTTTTTAAAAAAAGGAAAAAAATATGGATAGTAATTTTTCTATATATACTTTTCTGTACTTACAGAATGGGCATACTTAATTTTTGAATTTGAAAAATATTAGAAAACAAAATATTCACATACTACTTAGAACAGAGGTGCCATGGTATACAGTAATTTTATATTTTTTTCATTTTGGAAATATTTTTCAAGTTGTGCAATAAAATGGAAAGTATAAGTTAGATATTCAATTTATTCATGCTGTCTGATTTTGAAATTCACTTTGGCCTAGTTTCTTTAATCTCAAAAGGGCATAAAACCTAAGAGTCAAAGGAAAAAAAGCTTCTTTTTAGACCCTTTCCTAGCTCTTTAAATATTTATTACTGAGCCAGGCAGTGGTGGCACATTCCTTTAATCCCTGCACCCAGGAGGCAGAGGCAGGTGGATATTTGTGAGTTCAAGGCCAGCCTGGTCTACAGAGCGAGTTCCTGGACAGCCAGAGCTACACAGAGAAACCCTGTCTCAAAAAACTAAAAAAACCAAAACCAAAACCAAAAACTTACTACTGAAGAATTAATTTCTTTGCCAAAATCACAAAACTGTGATGAGAAAGGATGACTAATGTTGGGGTGTTAATACAACAACATTAATAGAGTATGTAATAGAAATGTCACAGCAATACACAATCTGACCTGTACTTCTCTAGTAATGAAAGCAAGTTTTATGTAAAATGTAATGAATATTAATAT